CGTTTCGTCTGGAACACGCCTCGTTGGAGTTAAATCGAACTCGACCGGTCCAGCTTTCCAGCGATGTGAATTCCTAACCCGGGTTGTAATCCGGGAAATTGGATTTGCAAGTTTCATGGAGGATACTCGCGCGAATGAGGATCTAAAGTCCATTCGCGAAACGTTAGATGTAGGGGGAGGGGGGGAGGATCGAACTGACACAATTGGCGCCTTACAAAAGTCTTTACTGCGATGCTCGAGAGATCTCAGAAAATTCTGAGAAAATTCTACTGATCTGAGAAACAGTGCTGTTAAATTTTATGCTGTCAAAACGTTCACACACAGAGAAAATTTTTATATACAACACACATATATATACGCTTAATTTTATACCTGCGTTAATAAAAGAAATATCTGTTTTATGAAAAAATTTTATCTTCATTCAAAAAAAATATCTTACGAACGCAGGTAGATTCATATTATCGTTTATTTTTTAGCTAGAAAGATCTTTGTAAGGAATACAATTGTTCATTTACCACAATCAAACGTCATAACGGATGGGCGCCACAGAAAGACTTTCTTTCTAACATTCGCTAACAGTTGAAATAGAAATTCTGCTTCTGTTATTTAAATTGATTAGATACAAAACATATGCGATTTCGCAGTATTAGCTATTCATTTATGTATCTCAGTTATTTTTTCGTACCAAGAAAATTGTTGCTGCAGTTGCAAGATCATTTTTTTAGCGTTACAAAATTTGAAAATATTTTTCGTTTAATTGTGTTTTATTAAAGTAATTAAGAAAATTAAGAAACATATTCGGTTTGTATAAAAAAAATCTTATTTTGCAAATTTTGTAAATGTTGGAAACTATTCTCCTCTGTCGAGTTTTGTTTAAAGGAAGTAATTGAAGAAGTGTCATAGATACGTGAAAGATAATTTATATCACGTAATGAACATCTGTCATTGTTCTCCGTCTCTTGACTAATTTGAGAAGTCCCCTAAATGAACACTTGCGAAGTGTAAGCACTGACTCACGTGAGTTATCGATTTTGCCTACATAAATCAAGTAGCGAGATTGCATAATGAACTGACAATTTACTCGTCGTCGCACGTCAAACTATTCGCTTCACGATTCATCGCGCACGATGTGCAAGTGGAATTTGCGTACTTACGATTCGACGAGCGAACAAATTATTCTTTTGTTTTTACTTTTTACCATGTAAATTAGCGGCTACTGTTCGGCTCGGTTTTTCGAGCTTACCCAGAAAAGAGAGATCAACGAAACTCTCGTTTCGCTATTGCCTCACGTGATTTCAGCAACTTTTAAACGAAACTCTACAAAAATGTGACTTGCGCGCTGAGTCTGTAATCGGTTACATTTCTCATGCTCACTGACGCCGCTTGCATTATACTGTCGGTTTTGTTCATAGAAAGTTAGCAAACGGAGCTCACGTAACCTTAGTTAAATATAACAACGAAACGCGAAGTACCAAGCACTGTCAATTTTAACATACGTGAATACTTTGACGTTTTTCTTTGAACGGTGTTTCCAATTCTCGCGAGTCGCTAATATGCGGTTAAGAGGATATTTCACGGTTTTGGAGCATCTTGTATAACGAGGGTAACGACAAGTTTTAGTCGCAAAACTGAATTTCATGCGGCAGGGAGCCATTAAACTTTTCGCCGACGCGCAATATCCTTAAGAGGAAAGTTTCAGTGTAATATTATAATAATGATATTTGAAGGGTTAAGGGTTAAGGATTAAGGGCTACGCTCGTAAATTTTGGCATCCGTGTCATGCTTTTAAATTGCAATTTACGATGAGAGATTTCGATATAATAACAATAATAACAAATATATTGTTAAATGTCGATTAAATATTAGAATCAGATTATTGGAAGGAAGAATCGATTGTTGTGATGACAGTAATAGCGATATGTTAATTTAATTTATCATTATATTTTCATGGCAATGAAAATAATAATAATAATAATTTAAAACAGTTATAATATAATTTTTGTGATGCTTGATATAATAACGATTATAGATAATTCGACTTGTAAAAATAATGATAATAAGGATAATAACGACATATTTATTTTTCAATAAATTGAGAGAGAAGAATATTATTTTTGTGTTAAAGAGGTAATCGGCGAAGACTATTTTATTGACAGATTGAAGCGCGAGATGTGAAAAATAAAAAATAAAACTTGTTACCGCCATAGTTGAATCAAGCGGACAAACGTGATTTTCGGGCTCCCGGCTCGTAACCAGGAAGTCATGCATTGTTGCAAATGTGCGGCGGATTTTCGCGTTTTATCGCGCGCACGTACGATAAAGAGTGTGTACATAACAGACGCGGAGGAAAAGTGCATTCTCTTGCCGTCACACATGGACGTCAACGATGTGATTTACGTAAAAAATAAAAATCACAATGGCCTTGCATATCGCCGTCGCGCGAAACGCGCTCGGCATGTGGAATTCCGTGAAAAATTGAAAGCGCAAACCGCGCATCGATTTGGCGGGCAGAAATTCAGAAAAAACTCTCGTCCTCCTTGCAAACCTGTAGACTTCTATCACCTTCCGATTGTCGCACTTAAAAAATAAAAATTTAAACTACGTCATTGCTGCGTCAATAAGCTAATTATTTGAGTCGTAGCTTAATTAATAATTTGTCGTCTTACGATTTCATTAATCTTTTTCTGCCAAGTGGCGTCAGTTTGACCGCAAAATTTGGAGCACCCGCGTTCAAGGTTCTTCCGCTGTCATTTTGTAGTTCGTTCATATTTAATAATCCCGTCGCCGATACGAAGAGCAAAATTGTTCGTCAATAATAATTTATTTAATGGACAAGATTAATATAATTCACGACTTTCGTGCACGCGAAACAGCCATAAGAACGGTTATCGCTGTTTCGCTCGCGGTTTCCGGAGTCATACATGCCAATTTTTTAAGGCAAAGCCCGTAATGAGGGGACAAGCATAACGGTGTACGTCACGCCGACAGCCTTTTGTATTTTTTTCGCGGTATCTGCGCGTGTACATACCTACTCGCAGATAATTACCATCTGCGCCCGCGGAAAAATACTGCGTAATATATGAGCCTCCGTTTCGTCATGCCTCTTTGAAATTAGTAGCAACGATCCTCGTCGATTCTTTCGTTCGTTTGTTCGTTCGTAAGAGAGAGAGAGAGAGAATCAATAAATAGGAAAAATATGCGAGCTACGAAACACGTATTTGCACAGCATCAATCATATTGTGTGGCAGTACTTGAATTGAAAATATTACATAGATGAAATATATTAATCTTGACAGTACGTACTAATGAGAACAACTGTTTCCTTTTTTTGATGCGTTCTGTTGGTCGCGTTAATTAACATGACCAAGAAAAATTACGATTAAACACTATTTAAATACTAATAATATCAATACCGCGATTTAAGAATGCGAATTATTCGAAAGTTGTATTCGGTACGGATATTTTTTTGTTATCTCCGTGCTCGAAGTTTAACACGTAATCGGTCGTGATTGTTGGCACATTTAAAGGCAGTTATTCGGGAAAATCTACCAACGAACAATAGGTATTGCGCGGTGTATTCGCGGTATTATCATCCTGGCGTGGATTTCCGCCTTTTACTACCAGAGTTCCATTCCGCTCCGCCACACACACACACACACACACACTCACATACACACAGATCGGTATGCGCGAATACGTAATGCGTGTACAACCAATAACATCTTCCCTCCGCATCGATCTTGTCGTCTCCAGCAAGTCGTGAAAGAATCATGGCTCCGACCGCAATGTTTATCTATCATTGTCATTTGCAAACTTGTAATAAAAAGATTGTAAGCGCGTAGAGAAAAATTTCAGGAGAAGCTACTGCGTTCCGAGCTCGTTCGAGGTCTATGAAAAAGTTTGACAGTCTTACGCAAAATGTTACGCTTTTATTATATTATAATATGTGCATGGATAGAATTCTTATTTTCAAACTTACCCTGCAAATTATATAACTGTGGGACAACATTTCAAAGAATTTTATGAGAGTTTTCCGAAATTTTACCATACATTTTACTAGTAATTACACTTATTGTTAGTATATATATTTTACTAGCAAAATGTATGGTAAAATTTCAAAGAACTCGCATAAAGTTCTTCAAAATGCCATGTCGCTCCACGGTCACATGATTTTCAGGATACATTTTAAGAGAAAATTATTTCCGTGTATATTTATTATATTTATATTAAAAATAACATTCTTTCTTTCGTTTGTTCGTTCGTTCGTTCGTTCGTTCGTTCGTTCGAGAGAGAGAGAGAGAGAGAGAGAGAGAGAGAGGAGGTGAGATTATAAATATAATAAATATATAATATATATAATAATATATAATAATATATTTATGTTTATAGTATTTAGTTTGTATTTATTACACTAATATATTAAATATATATTATAAAAATACTATGCACGAAAAGTGTTACGCGTCTTTCTTCATTACGTTACATAAAGCCGTGTATGTTCGAAAGAATTCAAATGCCCTAGTAAAATTGCAATAAATCGAAGCTCCTTCGCTGGCACATAAAAGTTTACCTGAAACGTTGAATCGTTAACATACTCGCGGATATTAATCACTTTCGATTCATTACTCTCGCGAGTGTCGGTGATGACAAGTGGGTAAAGACATATTTCAAAAAGACACATTTCTCGCGACACCTTAAACGTTCCATCAAACGTTTCCCGCGTGTCATTCGCGACGGGAGCCGGGATTAGACGCAGCTCCCCGCGACGAACGAGTTAAATAGCACTCGCCATCGGAGGACGAGCGCATATCATCCTCTGGTCAAATCCCTCGCTCGCCGGTCGCGATCGGTCCCTCGTTCGCGCGCTTGGTGAACGTCGATCGCGTTTCTGCCTTTTACCAGCGACGGCGCATGCGCGCGGCGCGGTTTGGCTCAAAGGTATCAAAGCGTGCGCCGCCGCTTGCACCGGCTGCACCTCCGCGTCTGCGGCGCGGACGGTCAGTAACGCGCCGAGCGTAGTCGAGGAAGGGCGGTCTTTCTTTTCGTCTCTCGCGCGCTCACCTCGGCGCCAAATCGGAGCAAGGCGAAAACGGGCCCGCGTGGTTCCGCGTACGCGCGAGGCGCGTGTCTTAAATCACTACCGCCCGGCTGACTCGACCCGGCCGACCGCGGGGCGGACGAGCGCGGAATTGCCGTACATCGAAGCAAGTGCGAAGAGAAAACGCGTCGTCATGGGTACCATGTGTTGTGCCCCGCGGGTGTAGAGTGCCAATTGCGCGCGGCCAGGCGAGGGGGATAAAGAACGGGGGACGGGGGAAGCGACGTGCTAAGAAAGGATCGAGGATACGCGTGGGCTGAGCCGCGACCCGCCGAGCCGAGGACGTCCCGTCGTGGAGGAGCGCGAGGGAGAAACGCCGGAGAGGTACGGGGAGGCGCGCGGAGAGACGATAATGCGGAGCCGTTGCTTCCGTCTTCAGCGACAGGACGACGTTCGGATCTGCTCGTAGTAAGTGAACGTACATACACCGCCGGGGACACTCGCGGGGGATTAATTGTGCGTCGGGTCGCCGCGTCGCGTCGCAGCTAGGGGGTTGCCCGCCCTCCGAAACTGCGGCCCGCGCACCCTCAGAAAGGACCTCTGTTATCGAGACAAAAAATATTCTTGACGCACTTATATTCCTCGCAACCTCGTTTAGTATAAAACTAAGACAATATCAAAATCAAATCAATAATTCTTATTCCCCTCTAACGAATTAAAAAAAAGATTGACTCACTATATTTAAGCAAGGGTAACTTGTACAAATGTAAGTTTATATATTGTTGCGTTTGGAATAAATTTTACCCCCCATCTTACGAAGTCGGTGCCACGATATTCGACAAAAGACGATACCCACTATCATTTTCTTCTAGATTTTACCATTTTTTCATTTAAGATTAAAGTATTCCTTTCTCTATAATAAATATGATTGGCGCTACATCGATCCTATTTTATGATACATTCAAGTGTAACAGCATTGGATCCGGAAATTTTCTCTGTGGGTGCGAACTCCGTGTCCTCGCGACGCGCGACTCGTCTTCTGTATTCCGTAATTGCAAAAAATATCCTCCGACGCGGAAGTTTGGCCATTAATTGTGAGAATATCGTTTATGACGATTTAACGATACTCTCTTTTGTTTCTTTCCATCCGCCGGATTCGCGCGGAGTAAACGGTGATGATATTCTCTTGAAAGTTTAATCCTCCCGAGTACTCGCTTTCTTTTTAGCTCGACGAACAATAAGTGAAATGGGGGTAATGAATAAGAAAGTACTGGGCGCATTTATCACCTCGCGGAAAATAATCGAAATCCCGCGTTTCTTTTTGTATTTTTCTTTCGCTCAAGTTTTCTTCGTATCTGCATTTACGTTAAATGAGATATTATGTTAGAGGCTAGTGTGTGTGTATTAGTTTTGTTACGATTAAGTACGATGCATTTGTCGTACAAAGTTTGTAAACTGCGAAAATTAAAAATATCAAATGCAAATACGTTTCACTGTTGCACAGACACTGATCGTGTGTCGTCGAGTTTCACATTTACAATAACAGCAATGAACATTATCCGTTGTAATAATACAGCCCGCGGCAGGTATCGAGTTGCGAGGCGGAAATTCTTCGGCCGAGCGAAAGAAGAATATCGCGAATATTACAAAATGAGAATTAATGAAATATATAAACGTGTAGACTCAGTTCTCGGCAATGTAAATACAAAAATAACCAAGGGGCAGTGAGAGTAGTTATTATCGCGTAAAACACTACCCGTTAGATTATGATTACAGTCGATGTTCATCGGCTGTCCGACACAGTTAACGTTTTTAATCTTTTTCACTGAGAAAAATGATGTTGCAACCGCAGCAACAATTTTCTAGGTACGAAAAGAAACTGAGATATATAAATGAATAGCCAGTACTGCAAACTCGCATATGTTTTGTATTTAACCAATTGAAATAACAGAAACGGAATTTCTATCTCAACTCTTAGCGAATGTCAGGAAGAAAGTCATTTCTTTGGTCCAATATAACGTTTGATTGTGGTACATAAACAGCTATATTCCTTACAAAGATCGTTCTAGCTACGGTACCGAAATTTATTTTTATCCAATGATTAAGATTTAGCGAGGGATAAACCGCTGACCAAAATCATGTACACAAATGCCTACCAATTAGTTTGTCTTAATGTCTTATTTTATCTTATTTATTTTGTTTTATCTGATTTTATCTTTATAATGTCCCAGGCCGAATGCCCAAACTAATATCCCAAAAATGTCCAGTAATGCCCAGGAATGCCGCTAATCTGTACACCACAATGCCCTCAGCGGTTTACCTCGCGATCCCAGATAGTACACATAGTTCTATGAATAATCTTCTGGAGCGTAAATATTCTTAATTTCAGAATATTCGAATCAAATAGTCTATAAATATACATAGATCATTACTTCGGATGTTCTTTGGAAAATTCGTTCAGAATAATTTTTTAATATTCATCGAGTTTATGTATTGCACATCGTTTATTTTGTAACACACTGATGCAAAAGGCAGTGAAACTTGTGATCATTCTATGTGTATATAACCGACACGCTATATTCGATAGATTATTCTATTCACACTCGAAAAAGATTTATATAGTAGTACCAGTCGAACATAAGATAAATATATAAGAATGACCTATGGAATACCATGGTGTTCCAAATATTCTTAAAGAATATTCTTAAAATATTCATAGGAGTGTCTTGTGCTATCTGGGAATATTTAGGCCCAGTTTCACCAGGCGTCGTTTAACTTTAATCTTAGTTTAATTCACGTTTGTCTCTTTCTAAAGTAATAGACGGAAAGGGACAGAGCGAATTAAGCTGAGCTTAAAGTTAAACAACGTTGGTGAAACCGGGTCTTAGTCACGAAACCTGAACTTTCCAGAAGGTATTACTAGAATGTTACTTATTGATAATAAGATATTCACATTCTTAAGTTGTTAATAAGATATTTTTTTAACGTTAAAATCTTACTACTGACGTAGTTTTATAATGTATTTGCTGACTTTTCTGTCCCTATTATTTCGATCTACAATTCTTTTGTTTCCGGACAATTCCGGAAACAAAAAAATATCGACGTTAGTTTCTTTGCTGCTTTCTGACCGAAGATCCGAAAGCACTCACCGTTTGGTCCGACTGAAATCGCGAGAAGGAATATTTATTGTGCTGAAGACGACTCGAACTGGAGTCGACTCTAATTGTTATCGTCAATTGTTTTCGAATTGTGATGATAATTAAGTATAGTTGTTTACGCGACTCACGCAACAATAACCGCATCACACTCTCATTGGTCGTTCATTGTTTTTGTAAAGAGAGAATTATTGCCGACTGGAAACATTAAGCGTTCTAACGATATTGCTGAATTCAATTACATAATTGTACGATATACACAGGCACGTACGAGCACACACGCGCATTACCGAGAACGCAATGACATAACATCCCGAAACGTGGGAGTCACCCGAAAGTAATCAATCATTCACGCACCCTTTCGCATTCTTCTCGTAACGCCCGGGGAAGAGCTATCGATCATCAGAAAGGAGCAGGCGCCAAATTTATTCTCTCCTACTTGTAATTAATAAACTTTCCTAAAGAACACAGAATCCGCGATATCGATACTGCACCCGTTTGTAAAGTTCGTGCTCTATCATCTAAAGTTAAACAAGACGGATCTTAATTCAATCAGCGCCGCTCCATGCACGTGGATTACTTTGCATCTCGAAGATAATTATAACTTCTTGTAACATTGGATAGTTATAACAGTTCGTCCATTGTTTAATTGATTCTGACTGATGCAGTGTATCGCGCGTACCATCGCGATCGTAAAGGCCGAATCAGACTAGCAAATGCCGACTCGGATTGGATTGGCGATTGACGATTGTCCTCTAGCCAACGAGAGCGAAGCAGCCAGCATTTAATCGGCTGTCATGGGCTAGAAGACAATCGTCAATCCCAATCCAATTCGAGTCGACAATTGCCAGGGAGCTCTATAACCATTTTAGACATTTTAACCATAGACTGATTACGAGACAATGGAGCCCTAAATGGGGGTATCTTTTTCTAGCGAGCGTGAGTCGGAAAAAGATAAACCAACGGCACACGATACTATTTTTCCTACTGGATTGCTTACGAATTCAATCAGGATTTAGCCTTAAGCCACCTAATCTAAAACTCTGCGTCCTTGTGGACTTTAGACACCCAAATAAATTCATACCGTAGTATAACTAGTAGCTCCACTCCGTCATTTGTTTCGTTTTCCATCGATCCCTTCTGCGCATCCGACATTTTGTTGGCCCAGCCGATGAGAAAAAAGTTATATGTGAAAGTACACCGTCGGGAACACTCGCGGGGATTAACTGTGCGTCTCGGGTCTCCGCATCGCGTCGCAGCTAGAAATTGCCCGCCCTCCGAAATTTCGGCTCGCGAACTCCGTGCTCTCGCGACGCGCGACTCGTCTTTAGCATTCAAGTGATAAGCAGTGTAGCTTTGATACACTACTACACATACAACCATAGACGTAATATATTTAGATCGAGCGTTTGCATGCGACAGGGAGAGAACGAAGTAGCACAAAACAGAGTTTGTCCTTTTCTACGTGAACCTGTACCCCCTACTGCTCAAATAAAGACAAACGCTCGGTCTAGATATATTGTGTCTATGCACACAACTTTTTTCTCATTGGCTGGACCAACAAAATGTCGGATGCGCAGAAGGGATCGACGCAAAACGAAATAAATGACGCGTATGTTAACTTTGCACCCTAACTTTAAAATTTTGTAGTTCTGACTGGAGTTTCTGCTTTTTTTAAGAGTTTAAGAGTTCCCAATAATTTATAAAATTATAAAAAGAGTTCTGCTGATTAACGATCAGAAATTAAAATTTAAAAAATCGGGTGCCAACTTCTTATCGAAATTTGAGATCGAATAGTTCTGAATGGTCTAATAGCTTCATTTTGCGATTATCTAGAGTTCCTGATACATAAAAAATTTTCTCGGTTAATTAAAAAAATAATAAAAATCTTTGAAAATTTTATTTTGAGATACAATAGTTCTGAGTGATTTATATCGCTATTACGTTTATTTCGAAGAGTTCCCGCTAACTAAAAAAATTCTAACCGCAAATATAAAAAGTTACACACTTTAAATGACATTTTAGAAACTAGTAAAAAATGACGCGTATCTCTGAATGAGTCACTTAAGCTCTGTGCGCCATAAGACTTTCCGTTAAAACTCGTCGAGAACTGCCTAGAACTCCACTCAGAACTACTCGGAACTCTGAAAAATTTTTCGACGTCCGGACTTAGAAATTTTTCGACCATCGTTCAAAGTCCGGAGGTCGAAAAATTTTTCAGAGTTTCGAGAAGTTCTAATTGGAGTTCTAGGCAGTTCTCGACGAGTTTTAACGGGAAAGTCTTATGGCGCACAGAGCTTAAGTGACTCATTC